GTCAATAACTCCTCGAATATGCAAGTGCGTGCGTGCGTGTAAGAGAGAGATCAGACAACGAATCAATTTATAATCCGCCAATCTGAATCCCGAGGTTCGGGCCCGCGGATCCGTAAGTGAATGAGAAGCTAATAAAAACGTCGTGGCGGTGTCGCGGCAGCTCGCGGCATGCGCGGTAGCGAGTACAAGAGTAATTGATATCATTGGCATGGCCAAGTACCCATTGTTGTCCTTATTGAGTCCTCCAGCTCCTACACCCTACAGGGCCTGCTCGCTGCGGCGCTGCGCCCGGCATCGTGATTATCGCTGAGGACCACGTAACTGCCGCCGCCGGCCAGCCAGTTGCCTTGTTTTTCACCGGCACGGTTTGGCACCGCGACCCGAAAAGCATCGAACACGGTCTTGCCGGATGATCGGAGAGGACCCACTGCAAATGAGGAGGACAAAAATTTACCCTACGGTTTCCAACCGGACTTCCGCAAGAAAACCCAAAACTGAGTTAACAAAGAGTGGGAAACAAACTGCAATTATTAGTTGGTTATTTGTTTATTTGGTGACGCTGATGATGATTATTAATGTTACTTTATCGTACACCTTCCTCGCATCGCATCTCGCCCCTTGCTCTCGGATCGCTTGTGTTCGGTCGTAAATTTTCACCGCAGTGACAAGAGTCGGGTTACTCCGTATACCACTACATATATCAATCCGTCTCTTCGGCCAGGGAGAGAGCACGGCGGTGGGAGAGAGGGAGAGGGAGCGAGAGGGAGAGAGGGAGAGAAGGAGAGAGAGGGACGAGTCTTCCAGCCACACAGCACGCTGGCGCATTTAGCAAGGTGAATGAGGAAAAAGCCATTCCAACCCTGTAAGAAATGTCGTGTGGTGCCAGTGATGTCACACGCACGCACACACGCACTCACACACGCACGCGCGCGCACACACACACACGAGGCGCTGGAACGTCGCGCCAAAGGCTGGCACCCACAACGACAAGACGCAGGGGTCGCTCCTATGGCAGGTGGTGCTCTGTCCTCGTAGAAACAGAACAAAATTCAAAACAGAACCACGGAAACGACCACAGCCCAGCAACCAAGAATTTTACTTAAGTTACTTACTTTTTGGCAGTCTTCCGCGAGATGCTGACGCGTGGAGCCCTCACACCTGAGCAAACCTCGGGTGTGGAGGAAGAAATAACCACGCCGTTAATGGAATACAACAATTGCGCTCGCGCGATCTCGCTCATCTTTTTGTGGCGTTCGCGCCGCGTCGCCGCGACCCGTGCTGTTTGTTCGACACCCCTCCCACCCCCGTGCTTTATCTCTCTCTCTCTTTCAGGCCCGTGGCCCCACCCCGCTGTTGTTGCTTCTCTCTCGCGCGCGGCCCGCCATTGGCCAGTCTAGTCACGTGGGTGGTGACGTCACAGGGCGCGCTGCTGGCCGGGCTGGGCGGCGCGCAGCCCCGCCGCGAGCGGCCAGGAAGGTGGCGGCTGCGCTGGCTGCGCTGGCGGTGCTGACCCGGCCCGAGGAAGATGGATTATGTGTGGAATAATGTGCGAGGGAGGGAGACGGCGCTAGCTGGAGTCCGGGCCGGGCCGGGCTTGCGCAAGAGAGCGCCGGGGAGCGAGAGGGAGCGAGAGCGAGTGAGGCGGTGCGAGGGAGCGAGACGGGGCTCGGCCGGCCAATGGGCGGGAGCGAGAGCGAGAGCGGCCGCGCGCCCCCTGGCGCTGTCTCTGTCTGCCCTCTCACCGCGGCCGCCCCCCTCCACGGCCCCGCGGCCCCCGCGGCCCCCCGCCCCATAAACCAGTCTCTCTCCGTCGCGCGGCCGCCCCGCTAATCCGTCTCTCTCGCGCCGCGCCGCCCCACCGCGCCCCGCCGCGCTGCCCCCGCCCCCTTCGGGGCGCCCCCCCACTCCGGCCCGGCGGCAGGGTGGGGCGAGAGAGAGGGCTCCACGGCCGTAAAGCATCGGAACGATAACACTTTAACTTACGTATCTCGTACGACGCGACGCTACGCGACGCTACGCCACGGTCGACTCCAGCAGGTCCGCGTGTTGTGCGCCCCTCCGCCCCCGCGAAGCGCGAAGCGAAGCAGCCGACGTGCCGTCGCGTTGTCGCGGAGGGCCCTCCGCCTATTTTTAATTTCCCTTGTCCCACGTGCGAGTGGCCTGGGGCGCCGCGCCGTGCACCGTAGTGTGTCTTCGGCGTCCCCGGCGTCGTCGCGCCGGCCTCCACATCGCGGACCTCGCGTGGCGTGCGCGCGCGTGCCTCCAGTGTGTGTGTCAGTGTCTCCGGCAGTGCCGCGTCCGCCAGAGAGAACCAGGTAAGGCGACGACGGCGTCCTCGCCTGTGCACCGAGTAGAGTGTAGTGCTGCAATATAGTGTGCGAAGTGCCTCATGCAAGCCGGGACTGCCAGCCCCGCCGCCAACCGCCGCCAACCGGCGAGGACCCCCGTGTTGACGAACCGGGGGCGTGTGTGTGCCCTGTGTGCCCCGTGCGCCCTGCCCGCCGAAGCAAGCTCCTCTTGAGAGCGATCCCCGCAGCGGCGGTCGTATTGAGGAAGACACCAGTGTCACCGACACAGGGCTCTGCCTGGCCCTGCCGTACCAAGTCACCCGATCCGCAGCCTCGCCTCATCGATGCTTGCACTCCACTGGTAAAACGGGAAAGCGTGCCGCCAGGGCTTTCTTCAAGCGTACTGCCATTTCGATTCTTTTGCATGCCGGAAGCACCCCAATCCTTTCTTTCTAAATGCACGGATTAATTTCAAGAAGTGTGGTGAGTCTTCGGCTATGCAATGAAAAGAAGTTTTGCGCGATAGAGGACCTCTTTTGAGAGGCGGAGAGCAGTATGGCGACGAGGTTTTGTCGCACGCTCTGTACCTCTCGGCGTCTTTTCGGAAAGTGAATTGCCGCCTCGTCGTGTTAGTTGTGTCGCCGAAAAATACTTTGCGCCGCGCTATCGGCAGCCGAATTGTTTTATCACTCATTAGCGCGCTGACCCGCGGCATCGCGTCAACCCCAATTTCGGCATAATGCTCGATACGCACTCCGAAAAAAAATTAATGAAAAATACCAAAAAAGAGAAGAAGAGGCGGGTCAAAAGTGGATGCGACTGGACCAGCTATCTGCCGGCCCAAAATTGGAAACCGAATCGCCGGCCAACGTGCAGAAATGCGCGGCCCGCGGCGGCGCGCCTGCAGTAAGTCACGCACGAGGAGCAGGCGGAGCAGGCCGTCGAGATGAGGAGGACCTTTTAGGCAGCGGGAGGTGTGGCCAAAAGGCAAGGGCCCGGTTCGGCCCGCCGCAAAGTACCCCAAAAGGCCGGTAATCGCCCATGCCGGCTGCCAGTCGGCTCCGTCTCCCTCGGACTCGTGGGCCGTTCCGTGAGGGTGCGAGAGAGGCAGAGCGATCTGCTCGGAATCAGACTACAGGCGATTGGCTGCCCCGGTCCGGTGCCGGTCCGGTGCGGCCGGCCGGTGCGTACCGAATCCCCTTCCCGTTGGACGTGCGGCGACGTGGCCCGCGGACCGCCATTCGAACCGCAAACCGCGAGCCCAGAAGGGTTGGCCGGCCGGTCACGGGCACGGCGATTTGGAAGCGTGTCATCCTCGGACAGGGAGGGAGGGTCCAGTTCCCGCCGGACCCGTTTAGGGGGCTGCTCACTCCCGGGCACTCTTTCAGCTCTAAAAGGTCTCGAATGGAACGCATCATGGCACCAATGGTTTCTTCGTCCAAAAACCAGTTCGTTGGTTCCCTCTTGATCGGATGCCTGTTCGATATGCATGTTCGAAGTTCAAAAGATCTCATCTCGGCGCTACCCCAAGAGAATCTTCTCTTAGACGCGTGCGAATTTCACTCAGTTTGATCATTTGGGATGGATACGAGAGTAGGCGGAATATACTGTATTTCTACATGCACTATTGTTTTTTGGTTTTTTTTTTAACTTTCATCTTCGTTTAAGTGAATTAAATCACAAATTATATTGATTGTGGCTGCACCAAATGATCAAACTAAGTAAAATTCGCCTGCATTCATAGTAAGATTGTCTTTGGGGGAACGCCCACATAAGATCTTTGGAATAGGACCCCTCGATATGACACTGTGGCTGAAGTGTCAAATTCTATTCCACGACTGTAGCTGGCCTCCGGGGAAGCCGAGCAAAGCGTCTTGCCTACAGCGCTGTTACAGACAGGCCCACAGGGAGACGGGCGCCCCGTCCGTCCGACAAGTCCGACACTTCGCGGGCCGCGGGTCATAAATTGCCCGCCCTTTGCTGTAATTGTGCCCTGTCCGAGTATGTGTTTTCCCCTGTTTTTTGCACGCGCGTGATGGATCGCTCGAATTATACACCTTCCTCTTTACTTTCCCCCTTTCGGCCTTTCGGTCCGACAGGGTGGCGTACAAGAACAACGATCACGGGTTTGACCATATTTTTTGTTGTTGTTTCGTTCTTTTTTTGCTCTTTCTGCAATGGCTGTTAACATTCCTAGAAGTTCCCAAATTCCGCGTGCTGCGTTTTGCCTCTGACGGTGGACGAACCCGGGACCACCGCAGGGGCGCTAGGTGTGCGTGCACGCAGGGGTACGTACTCCAACCCGAACGGCAGCGAGCGACAGATGGTGTCAGATGGTGGCGCTATCTGTCTGCTCAACTATGAACTATGAATAATGCAGCATCAGCACGTCAGCGGCGAGGACCGGGCCGGGACGCCACGGGACGGGCCGGCAGAGCAGCGCGCCGTTTGACGCGGCCAACAGAAATATGGCGACACCGATACCATCGGCGAGGTGTCAGCGAGTCAGCGCCATGTTCAAACGACACAGCAGAGCGCGCCGCGGAGGTTTCAAGGAAGGCAAAGATAACGCCGCACTGATAAATCGCGCCGGTGCGGCACGCATCTGAGTCACAGCCGCCGCGCTCGGCCGGACGGCACAGCTAATTGTCGCGACCAGGCGCAAGGAGGAGGGCGTGGCTGAGAAGGAGGGCCGAACTGGAGGTGGCTGAAATGGAGGTGGCCGAACTGGAGGTGGCCGAACTAGAGGTGGCAGAGCAGAAGGTGGCTGAGCAGAAGGTGGCTGAGCAGAAGGTGGCTGAGCAGAAGGTGGCTGAGCAGAAGGTGGCAGAGCAGAAGGTGGCAGAGCAGAAGGTGGCTGAGCAGAAGGTGGCTGAGCAGAAGGTGGCAGAGCAGAAGGTGGCAGAGCAGAAGGTGGCTGAGCAGAAGGTGGCTGAGCAGAAGGTGGCAGAGCAGAAGGTGGCAGAGCAGAAGGTGGCTGAGCAGAAGGTGGCTGAGCAGAAGGTGGCTGAGCAGAAGGTGGCTGAGCAGAAGCTGGCAGAGCAGAAGGTGGCGAGCAGAAGGTGGCTGAGCAGAAGGTGGCTGAGCAGAAGGTGGCTGAGCAGAAGGTGGCTGAGCAGAAGGTGGCTGAGCAGAAGGTGGCTGAGCAGAAGGTGGCTGAGCAGAAGGTGGCTGAGCAGAAGGTGGCTGAGCAGAAGGTGGCTGAGCAGAAGGTGGCTGAGCAGAAGGTGGCTGAGCAGAAGGTGGCTGAGCAGAAGGTGGCTGAGCAGAAGGTGGCTGAGCAGAAGGTGGCTGAGCAGAAGGTGGCCGAACTGGAGGTGCCCGAACTGGAGGTGGCCGAACTGGAGGTGTCCGCGCGTTTGATAAGGTGCGGCGGATTGCGGCGGCGGTGCCCGCTGGACCGCGACGTGGGGCGCCCAAGCCCACCGAGCTGGAGGTAACGATGAAAAAGGGCGGCGGGGAAAAAATAGTGGCCACTGTCGGCCCCAATTTAGTGGCAGCGTCTTTACATCTTCGCGAAGAAGAGGAAGAAGAAGAAGAAGGAGCAGCCCCTCAAGAAGGCGTGCGTGTAATTGCGGTCCTCGCGGTGACAGACGGGGTGGCTCTCGATCGCGGCGCCCAGCGGGGAGACAATAATGACGGCACGGCAGGGCGAGGCAGGGCGAGGCAGGCAAGGCGCAATTGGTTGTCTTGCTGCCTGCAGGGCGCGCCGCCCGGGGGCCGGGCTGCCGGGCTGTAATGGAACAAACCGCCCCAATTTGTAAGGAGGCTGCCTGCTTGCCTGCTTCTCCTGCCTCGCTCGCAGTCTGCACCTCCTTGTGCGTGGGATGTGTCCCATCGGTACAAGGAAAGGCCAATTTTTGCCATGAGAGTTTGAATGATTTGCCTCACTTGGAGTGCGAAAGAGACTTGTGCAAAGTCAGCAATGGTGACTTGGTCCACCGATCTCCGTAATTTGACATCCAAGATGGTATGACCCTTGTCGGTGAATAGTTCTGTGAGTGCACCTCCGCCGAGAGGGCTGGCGACGCTGGCGACGGTCGACCGAGACTTGCCAGCGCGCGGTCGACGCGTTTGCTCGCCTGTCAGGCAGTATTGGCAGCCGCGGCGTCTCCCAGCGCGCGAGAGAGGGAAGCTGCGAATAGCCGCGGCGTCTCCGAGTGCGATAGAGAGGGAAACTGCGAATAGAGAGGAGCACGGTGAGGTGCACGCGGTGATTTGCGACGTGACAACCACATAAATCATGTTCGCCGCGTCGGCTAGCCTAGATCCGCCGCATTCGCTGCCTCACCCCTTTGCCACCCCAAAGTGACCCCCCCCCTCCCGCTCTCTCCCCCCACCCGGCGAGTCGCACTGGTCGCACCAGAGCGGAACTTTGGACCAGATCCTGCCAACTTCCAGAAACAAAAACATTTTCACTGATCCTTTTTTTGGTGTGTTGGCCGAAGCTTCACGTAGACCCGCATTATATTCCGGCGTGAAGCTCTCCTCGAGATTCGTTCTTTCACTGCGAAAACAGAACGAGAGAGAGAAAGAGAGAAACAGAGATAGGAGAGAGAGGGGACGTGACCTAACCTCACCGCGGGGATAATGAGAGCACAGCAATCGATTTCACAGTGTCGCTGCCTCGGTCGCCGCGCGCCAACAAAGGAGCCAAAATATTTGGCCCGCATGCAAAACAAGGGCAGCGTTTTACAGCGAAGGGAAAAACAAAACGAGCGGGACCGCGGTCGGTTTTAGCTATTCCTCGCCGTTAATGAATGCGGAGCATTGACACCTTCGGTTCGGCGGCATGCGGTGCAGAACCGTTGCGTTTCGACGTATTCATGAAATTCAGAGCGACGCGACTCTGTCGAACGGATCAGCTGAGACGCCGCGAGCGAAACAGTTGGTAGTTTTTACAGCGGAGGCTGCAGCCATCGCGCCGCCACCCTCCATGCTTGATTCGGCGCGCAGGGAGGAAGGGGTGGGGGGCGGCGGCCGGTCGGGAGAGGGGTGGGGGAGGCAGCCGCTGGCCCCGCTACTCCTTCCCTACAGAGTTTTTATTTTCCGTTCAAATCCTACCACTTCGACCAAAGGCAGACCAAAATCTTTTTTCCGGGTGTTTCCCCGCCGGCCTCTTCGACCTGACCGGACAATGGCGTATTTTGACCCGGTATCACCTCACCCCGTGGCATTCTGTGTGTCCGTCCCCCCGCTGCCTCGGCCGCTTTGCCTCGTCCCTTGTACCTGTTATGAAAAGGCATTCTTCATCGGGCTGCCAGTGTCCGCCTGGACGGCGTCGCCAGCGTCGCCAGCGTCCGCCAGGATGGCGACGGCCGATGAGGCAACGCAAGTTCAAGGCTGGTCGTGGCTTTCTTCGTGGCGGCCAGGCCCGGCCAGGTGGCAGCGATGACCTTGGCCGTGCCACCTTTGTACCTGGAGGGGCCTGCACTGCGAAGGGTCCGAGCCACCCCACAGACATGGCGTCACGGGGACGACGCGGACTATGAAAAAGTGGTCGATGCGTATACCGCGGCGCGTACGCGGTGGCGGCTGAGGCATCGCCCTCCTTCCCACGTGGCGTCGGAGGAGCCGAGAACGGAAGATTAAGAAATAAAACACCAAAGTCACGTACGCTCCGGAGGAGGAAAAGGAGATAAAAAAAGAGAGGCCCAACTATGTATTGAGGAGGTCCGCCTCAAGGAGGGGAGAGGCGAATCACTGCGTTTGGGTTCGGTGGGGCCGGGCCGGGGCCCTGGAGCTGCCGGAGCTGCCAGGGCCTGCAGCACGCTGAGGTAAAGACTCGAGAAAAACAACTCGAGAATGTACTTCTTTTCTTTCCCTCTCGTTTTTTTTTTTTTTTTTTGCAAGGTCGTGCTATAACAATAAGCGCACTAATCCATACATCGACGTGAATGCGATCGGACGATTACGTCTAGTGCAAAACTCCTTTAGCGTCGTGGTCAAAGTCTCGCCCGCACACACACCATGACCACAACCTCACATACACCCATACACACACACACACACACACACACACGCGCGCGCGCAGACCGTGCATACATAAATATGGTATATATTCAGTCGCACGGCAATGATGTATTGCTCTGGTCCCGCTGTCAGACGGCTCTGCCCGTTAGGCCTTCCAGCCCCCCTTCCCCCTCCCCCCTGCCCCTCCCCAGTCCGGACTCCCATTGGTCCATACGCTTCTTCTTCGCCTTTGAGACCGCTTCGCAGCGTGGATCTTCCTATATACTACACTGCCCGATGAAATTTCACTGCACCAAGCCTTATATTTTTTTTTTACGGTTTTGTTTTATCGGTGCAGTGCTTGGCTTTGCGCTTAGCGCGGGTACCACCGACGGCCAAAGAAGCGCGCGGCCCGGCGCGGCCCGGCGTGGCGTGGAGGGGGCGGTGCCGGTTCCGGGGAGTGTTTCCGGGGAGGCGCTTCCGGGGGCCCGGACCGCGTCGCTGTGCCGCCGGGCCTCCGGGCCGCCGTGCCGTCGGCGGGGTGTCGCAGTGGCGGTGCGGCCGCCCCGGCCAGAGCCCCCATTGTACCGCACAATGCGCGCATGCGAGCGAGTCGCGGCTGCGCCCGTGTGTGTGTGTGTGTGTGTGTGTGTGTGTGTGTGTGTGTGTGTGTGTGTGTGTGTGTGTGTGTGTGTGTGTGTGTGTGTGTGGGCGCATCCCTTTCTCTCCCCGCTCCCCGACCCTCACATATCCATCCCCATGACGATAGAGTGGCCGGAGGAAGAAATTCACCGAAAGGGCGCCAAAATTTGCCGCGCCAATGTTTCCGCACTGTGTAAGTGTGTGTGTGCCGCTGGGTTGACATACCAATGCATCGAGGGGGGGGGGGGGGCACCCGGCGCCCCGCCAGGTCACATACCGGTCCCGCTGACGCCAAGTCCGGCCGGAGCCCTCAGCTCGGGGGCCTTCTTCTTCATCTCGGCGCCGGCGCGGTGCGTGTTTGTTTGTTCTGGTCAGTTTTAACGGCCTGTTTACGCGGGCCGGGCTGCGTATCGTCCCACGGCGCAGACGCCCCCGCCGCCCCGGCCGTGCGGAGTGCGTGGCGCCCTCCAAGGATAATCTGTGTATCCGCGCCGTTTAATTTATTCGCGTCATCAGCCCGGCCCCGGTCACCACAACAACTTGGCCCGAACTTTTTCCGCGCCTAAATGCGTGACTTTACGAAAAGTCATAACGGAAGGCCGTGGCTGTGGGATGCCCAGCCCCTGGCCGCGCCGCAGCCTCCGCCTCGGCCTCGCCGCGGACGCCTTGTGTAGCGACGCCGGAACAAGCACAGTGGTCCGCAGAACAAAACACGCCCCCTACAAACCGAGTGCCGGGGCTCGGCGGGCTTGGCGGGATCAGCGGCACCCACACTCACACACTCTCACGTACAAAGTCGCCGGGCGCTGTACAGGCTGGATGTCTGTTCTGGGAACCGCCTCACCTTTTCCTTTCCTCCAACGCCCCCCTCCCCCTTGTCTTTGGGCCCTCGTCATCCTCGCGCGTGGAAGGGGGCGCATTCCGAATCCAGAGGTAGGCGTCGAGGAGAAGAAGAAGAAGGAGCAGGAGAGGCTCGCTTACAGGTGGCGATTAGGTCCGTGGCGGCGCGAAGCGCGATAGCGCGTAACGGCTAGACGAACGCAAAAAGCGCGGCTTGCATCGCCAACTTGGGCGCCCACCACGCCCACCAGGCCGGGGCCGAGCGCGGCCACCCCCAGGCAGTGCCCAGGCACATCCCTGCGGACACTCCCCCCCCCCCTCCCTCTCTCTCTCACTCTCACACACGCACACCACCCCAGGAGGCCAAATGAAGCATGAATCAGGACAACGCCCAACCCTAATGAAGTATGAATTAATTTTTGGGGCCCGAGATAGGGGGTGGGCCGTGCCCCCGTTGTTGTGATGAACTGTTTGCACTTGCGCGCGCCATGCTCTCCCCCATGTTTATTTTTTTTCCTACCCCCACTTTTAAATTTATAGTACACGTGTTACCCCCATGGATTGTCCCAAGTCCGATTCTTCTTCTTTTTTTTTGCACTGCGTCGCGTGGCTGCCAACCCTGCAACACATTGTGAGCGGCCCGGCACCCCGGCTGGACCCTTTGGGAGCGCCCCGCCCTTGCGACCCTCTTCCCATTTTCCGGCATATCATCACTTCCCATGGCCTTGCATGGGCAGGGTCGCAAGAACAGCGTATGGTCGGTCCATGCCGGTGACGCTCTTGTCGGGTGGCGAAGTTGTTGTTGTTGTTGTTCCGCCACGGTCGAGACGCAAACGAAGCGCAGCGCGTGCCTTTCTTCGGCGACCTGACGGTTCGTGATTAGCGACGCCAGCAGCAGCTCGGCCGCCGATCCGTGGGTTCTC